ATTCACCCTCACGTAAGCCTCTTAGGCCCTTCCTGGTAGGACTCGATCGGCCCCCTTTTCAGTGCCCAAGGAGAAACGACAATGCTGCCATTCCTTCCCCACCAGCCTCCGGAGAAGCCTCTACTGCTAAGCCCACCAGTGAGGCCCCCTATCCCGTCACTGAGACGACCACAACGAGCTCTCAAACCACAGCACTGAACACTACCACTACTGCTGCTCCCGTTGCCGCTGAGGTCGACAACGAGAGTATAAAGCTACAGCCAGATTCAGAGGCTTCTATTCCCACTGAATACCCTGCCTTCGATGAGGAACCCAAGAAGAAAAGGAGTAAGAAAAAGAAGACCCGCGGAATCCGCCGCTGAGCTCGTCCATGTCACACGATGTTCGCAGTGGTAACTCGGTCGTAATCAGTTGCGTTCCATGATGTTGTTATCTCAATTTTTACTCTCCCCGAACTGGAAAAACCAAACACTGTCCTTGGAAAAAGAGTACACTATTATGCAACGATCCGAGAAGGGGCGAATCGTTACTGAACACAGTAGTAGGACGGGGACACTCAAAAGACTGTGATGATAACAAACACGGTATACCTATAGTAAAAAATCAACTACTCAAAGCACACTGTAGGCTTCCTACACCATGGCCACGGGGTAAGCTATCAACCATCGCTGGTTTTGCATATCTACTGCAGCTTCCAGAAATCTACTAGCAGTCAATGTACACCACACCACGTTCACAACGGTCAATATTATCCCTAAATCAAACACATTACACGACAGATGCAAAGACCCTCCCCGTACCAACTGCTCCCGTGAACTTCACAAACACCGCAGCAGCAGCGAGGAAGACTACTGGGAGCAATCCGTACCCTGAAAGAATCCTTCATAGCAAAAGTCAAGGACACTTTCCAACCTAAGATGCTCATCGTAGTATAGAGGTCAATCCCGTTCTGCTTGGGGCTCATCACGTTAGTCAAACAATAGATACCCAAACACCCAACCATCCCTAAACCGTATATGTACCCAAAGTGGACCTAAGATTCCGTATCACGCACTGTGAAGAAAATTTACTGCTACCTTTCCAGCAAGCACTAGCATGGTACCGAAGGCAGCCGCGATCAATAGTGGACCTGAGTCGAGATCAGCTGATGGTCTTCCTGGGTGGTTACCTCCGAGATCTGTGTCCTGCATTAGGTTCTGGCTAACACCACGGAAAAAGAGTATCGACTTTATACGGGCAGCAATAGCATCTAGGTCGATACCTGTTGGATAAAAACAACAAGGTCAACAACAATAAGGTCAACAACGAAAAGGTCGACAACAAAAAGGTCAACAACAACAAGGTCAACAACAATAAGGTCAACAACAAAAAGGTCGACAACAAAAAGGTCAGCAACAACAACAAGGTCAACAACAATAAGGTCAACAACAACAACAAGGTCAACAACAATAAGGTCAACAACAAAAAGGTCAACAACAATAAGGTCAACAACAATAAGGTCAACAACAACAAGGTCAACAACAATAAGGTCAACAACAACAAGGTCAACAACAATAAGGTCAACAACAATAAGGTCAACAACAACAACAACAACAATAAGGTCAACAACAATAAAGTCAACAACAATAAGGTCAACAACAATAAGGTCAACAACAACAACAACAATAAGGTCAACAACAATAAAGTCAACAACAATAAGGTCAGCAACAATAAGGTCAACAACAACAAGGTCAACAACAATAAGGTCAACAACAACAAGGTCAACAACAATAAGGTCAACAACAATAAGGTCAACAACAACAACAACAATAAGGTCAACAACAATAAAGTCAACAACAATAAGGTCAGCAACAATAAGGTCAACAACAATAAGGTCAACAACAACAAGGTCAACAACAATAAGGTCAACAACAACAAGGTCAACAACAATAAGGTCAACAACAACAACAACAATAAGGTCAACAACAATAAAGTCAACAACAACAAGGTCAACAACAACAAGGTCAACAACAACAAGGTCAACAACAATAAGGTCAGCAACAATAAGGTCAGCAACAATAAGGTCAGCAACAATAAGGTCAGCAACAACAACAGTAACAAAAGTAACAACGACAACAACACCAGCTGACGACTTACCAAGTTCTTCGAGAAGGGGAGGCTCATTGGCCAAATCGTCCTCATCTTCCGTATCTACCCACAACGCCTATGTCTCCACTACTGGACTAGCCTTAGTACCAAAGTCCCCCATAGAGCCCCCTACTGTGCTAGGCTGTTGAGCGGGAGGCACTCCACCACCCAACGATGGTTGACGGGGTGGTACAACTCCGCTACCACCCATTGTAGAGGAGGGTGACATAACGCTACCACCACCTGAAGGGAACTCCACTACGAACACAATACTCGAGTGAAGGGCATCACCTTGGTAGAAGTCAGGGAAGTCCCCAGAGGACCCTCCTGGTCCCCCACTAGCCCATGGGGACTGGACACCCGGACCGTTCACAGCATTGCCGATGAAGTGACTAGTCCCTGTTGATTGCATGCTATCAAAGTAAAATAAACTTCACCACATATGGTCGTGAATTTCCACGACTTACTCTTCCTCCGTATAGGAATATACGTTCGGTTTACTCAACTGAGCTCATGAAGTTCTCCACTACATCGTGAAAATCCACGGGTAGAAATATACAAAAAAACCGATAATTTCCCAAAATTTCCTCAGAATTTCCATATTGTTACTAACACATGTAGTTGACCATGTGCATATATTCCCACACTGCTCTTCCTTTCACATCGCATATTTCATCGTGAAATTATTCTCGCCGCTTCGAAGGCCCAGTAGCCTCCTACCACTGAGCGCAACAGCAACCGCACAGTACAATGCACTTCTTACGAAAACGACCATAGGGCATCGAAAGGTGTAGGGGAATTAGGGACGTGCTTAATCAAAGGGGCATTCAACAATAATACCTCCTTTAGTAATAATATTAACATCAATGAACATTACGTTACCACACCACACACACTTCATCGTCTCTTCTTCTTCGACACGGGCCTCTTCTTCTCTGAACTCTCAGGACTACGACGCCGCTTTCGATCCTCCTAACACGACCAACACAATAACCATCATAAAGCACACGCCAGCACAGGAGCTACATTGGCCGCCTTCTTCTCCAGCTCATCCCAGCTCAGTCCCTCCGATTCGTCCGATGCCAGAGACACCTCCGAGTCGGAATCGGATTCCTCGTCAACTAAAACAATGAGGATGTCGTACCAACTGCCGACTGTACTCACCCAAAAAGCTGCTTCCCGAATCGCTATCAGAGCCGCCACCTTTGTATCTGAGATGAGCAACCTTAGCTACTACCGACAATGGCGACCTACTCAGAGCCCCCAGCCTCCGATTCAACATCACTGTCTTCACTTTCAGTGTATTCCTCATCGCCCTCATCCATGCCATCGTCCGAACCTGACATGATCCGTATCCATACCGAGTGGTACCTTGGATACTACCCTCGTCAACAGACTCGCCAAACCATCCTTCCCAAGCGCCGTTGTCGATGAATGCTTGCTTCTTCCTGCAAAGAAAATGTGCATGCGTGCTACTTTCCATACCACTCCTTTCTGAACTTACTTATTAATTTCCTTCATAATGTTAGTCCAGTTCATGTTGGTGGGCCCCTGATACCATACAATCTAAAAAAAACACCACGCGTGGGATTCGAACCCGCGACCTCCTCCTCCTCCTTTTCCTACCCCTAATTCTCCCAACCACTGCTTGATCTGATCAAGACTCTCTGTTGGTATAATAGATATCCTAGCTGGTGTCTGCGTATAGTCTTTAAATATGAATGTCATGTCGAAGTTACGTAGATTGAATGATACCTGCATACCAACATCATCCTCTAACACCAGTAGTAGAAGTACTATTACCCTTTCAAAATATACGATATCGATGTTCCTAAGACTAAGCACATAAGCCGGCCATTCCGAGAGAGCAACTATACAGTCCCGACAAGGGTAGATGTCCACATGGGCTTTATTAGGAGTACCTACCATATGTTACTACCACTACTACTACTCCAGACAATGAACTCACCAGTGAACCCCAGCTCGCGATAAGGCATGTCAAACTCCAAGTTCGGGGCATACTGCGACCACACCTGCTCCTCTACTTGTCGTACAAACTCCCTGATATCAATACCACACAATGAACCACCATCAAATCTAATACTACTAACAGTACCGGAATAGTTTGTTGAGCTTAGTGATCATCTCCCTCTCCCTTTGCTCATCCATTATCTCATCTGGATCATACCCAGCCTGAATGGAAACACCTCACTACATCAGTTTAAAACTACAACAAAGAATTCATGTTAGAATCATAAATTACCCTCAATGCTTCACCAATAAAAAATTCTGTGAAATTTCCTCCCAAGTGGTCGACATCGCCAAAGCCCCCATCATTCTACCCTTCGTCTGGTCCCCAGGTCGTCACCAGCCGATCTAGTCTCCGTATAGAACTGGATATCATATGTCTTTTTCTTACCACTCACCTACTCATACCACAACTCCTCCAAATCTCACAGCCTCCTCCCCTTACCAAGATCGGATCTTTCAAGTTGAAGTGCAGCAACACCGTCTGGTCGTTTTCACAAGGCTGGAAAATTGCATGTGCGATATTCCGATAAATGATATCAACATGTTCGGCTCTAGAAGAGGTAAACCTGACCACAAAGCCCCTTCTCACTAATAGTAATCATATAATGCTACTCCACACTATAGGAGTATTGGAGGTATTATAATAGTAAAATAATCACTAGTATTATATATACTAGTATTAGTCCATATTCTTAGTATTACTATTATTAGTATTATAATAGTATAAAATCCATATTCCAGAACTGTATATATACACCAACATATGTATGCACAACAGCCCACTACATAGTGTGCGTGTGAACGAGGATATGCCGTGACACCAACGGAGGCGTATTACGGCAATAAGAAAAGGTAACCAGCTAAATACCCCTCCTTCTGACGAACCTTACAAGACTGTCAATACGGCTCACTCGCGTCAGGAAAAAGGAGGGTGCTAAAATCCTCCTACATAGTAAAACTTCTTTCGCTGTATTACAACATAATACACGTAATGATGAGTTTACACGAAACATAGGGTAAACCACGTATTAAAAATAGTACTGCCCACCACCACTTCTACTCACCTGAATCCATTCTGGTGCGCCTCCAACGTTCCCACAGCCCTATTACGACCAGTCGAGCCTAGCTGAGGCTTCACGTTGAGATCCCTAACCACTACCATAACAAGAACAACTCCTAAGCACCAAGCCTACCTCAGTACAGGTCTGCTCCTATCCTTTATCAACTTCAACGAGGGCTGCTCCTTAATGTCCTTCATAGTGTTAGCTTCCAACTCCCTCGTCCTCTGCCTCTTCTGGAGCTCCTTCAAGCCTCTGAAAATCAACCATTTCTCACAAGTAAATTTCCCATCCAAATTCCACTACCTAAATACAGCCTGCAAGTTCCTACCATCCTCCGCCCGATAATTCAGCTCTTTGAGGTAAACAAGGGTCTCCTTACTCCTAACATAAAATCACTCTCATACCACAACTCTGTCACTTCTCCCACCTGTTAGCCTCCGGGAACATGTCCTGCTGAACAAAGCTAGTACCCGGCGCATGAAAGTTGATACCTATCCCATCGCCACCATCATCATTGACACCCACCCCCACAACACGTACGTATGGACGTATACTTTCCCCCCTCGTCGTTAGGCTTGCTCACGTTCTTGATAGTTCGAATATGGAATGCCACCAGGTTGCCATTGATGGGCACCAACAACGTATCATGCTTGGCGTCAACAGTCAGCTTAGTCGTTCGAATATCACGAGGAATATCATCTGGCGTCGCATACGACTAAGACCACAACAACAACACCTTCCCTCTCTTCTCATACCAACAAACTCTAGCCTGGTGAATTCCACTATAGAATAAACCAGGCCACAGTAGAGTTGGCATTATTACATCACGCACAATTCCGAAAGCAATGACTACTATAAGAGCAACTAGGCCAACCTCACCTTGCATGTATCCAAGCACTTGTTCTTGTTAGTGGCATCATCACCAGAATCACCCGCATCTTCACCAGACCGGAGTAGCCTGGCTCGACACTCCTCCACCTTGCGAGCCCTCAGCTCATATTGCTGTTCCATCAACCTCTTCCTCTCCTCCTCATCCTCTGCTGTAGCTCTGTTACGACGTGTTCGAAGTCTGCAAAGAAATGCTTCTACTCCAAAATCAAGAGCTAATTCTATAAGTAGTGGAGACACGATGACACAATTTCCCTTTGCAACTCGGCTCCTGATGCCAATCCTGACCCTATTCGTGTCCTGGCAAAACTGTGTCATCATGCCTCCACTCACCAGCAGCTACCAACACCACTCCACGAAGACCTCCCGTTTCCCATCGCACCCCTGCTTACCGTGACTCGATTACAAGGTCGTCCTTCTTATGCTTGTGCCGCCCACTACTCGACTTGGCCTCCTCGCGACGTTTTTTCTCCCTCTTAGACTTGTCAGGAGTCTTATCTATCTTAGGTTGCTGCTCATAAGATTCAAAACAGGTCCGAAACTTACCATGCTGTCTCTTTTCTTTTTTGCTTTTCTTTTCCTTCTTCGTACTATCCTTCCTCTCACTCTTCACAACATCTTCGTTCTCTCCAGGCTGATCCGTATCAAGATAATACCTGTCATTAAATAAAATTGTAATAAAAAGACCCCCACCAGGGATCGAACCCACGCCTACATCACTTCATCCTTGCCAGACGACATCCCCGACGTAAGCAACTCCACCTAACACAAAGTAATCACCTCACCCACACTCTTCCCATACCTTCATCTTGCCGTCACGACCAGTAGATATGTAGGCTGAATCACACACCCACACAGCATAGGGCTTCTTCTTCTCATTCACCATCTTATCCCCCGCAAAGCCCACGCCCAGGTTGAGACACATCCCTGGTGTTATCTAAGCTCGATTCACATCGATCGATCGAGTTCAAGGATTTCCTCGCCTCTCCTCCATCACTACATGTTTATGATTCTTCGCATTCAACAGCATATGACCATCCCTGAACTCCAGCCCAATCGAATACCCACAGTCTGTTTGGAACTGGGACAGGGCGTCGTGGAGATACTCCACTGTTGACGCCTAAACAACAATAAAGGCGCCTTCTCCAATTTCCCCACAGTAGTGACATCACCTTCTGTTTTATGTGCTCAACAGCTGCATTATAGACCTCCTGACAAGTGACCGACTCCTTACCATTAATACCTACCATCCCTATCACTAAAACCATCATCACATAATACTACTCTTGATAATGGTATCCATAGTTGACAAACACAAGTTGTAATAAGCTCTCTGGTGCTTAGTGGGATCCACGATGAGAGTTCCTGACAAATACTATAGCAATCTTAAGACTCCCAAAATCTCCTTACTGGTGATGTTGGTTGAGTACTCCCTATACTTAGCTCCAACCGAAACGACAATACAGCTGAAATCAAGAGCCTCCCGGTTGGGCTGAACGTCAGGCCGTAATGTGAACTCCTTTCCAGACTGTATCAACGTGTATACCACATCCACTGCCTTGTCTGAATACGAGCAACGTTGAGGGAGGTGTGGTATGAAAGGCATCCCTCCCTACCTTCAGCCAGATACGGGAACTTCTTAGCCCATCTTGTCAGCATCTCCTTATTCTCAGCTGCCGACTCTACTGTATCGCATATGGCCTCATGGGACTTCTTCGCGTCCTTTTCAATGACCTAAACCCATGTATAATATCCCCAACCCTTTCCCCTTTCCTCCACTACTGATTCCACATCCCTAACCATCACCTGCTTCATCAACAGCGTGCCTGAGGCAACACACTACCACTGACAGACCCAAATAACCCATCCTTACTGAAGATGGCACTCCTCCTCATATTCTCAACCTCCTCAGCATCCTTGATCATCATCCAAGAGCTAACAGTAGCGGTAGCATTACCAATGCTATCATGAGCAAGAGTATCATTCGATGAACACTGAAGAGCAGCAAGCATCCTCCCTACTACATCCACTTTACACTACGTAGTTAGTAAAGCCTTTGGCCATCTTCCCCACATGCTTCTCCTTCTTCAACAATCCGACTTGGCACTTCTTCTCCCCTGCAATCGCCTTAGCCATGCCTGACGCAAGAGCCCAACGATATCAGTAGTCTCGTCCACCACGAGTAACTTACCAAAGACTTTATCATATACAGCAACATCGCTGGCACCGTCGAGGACTTCGTAGTGGATAGTGAACCTATGGTTCAGCAAAGGGTGTCCGCGAGTAACAGCGGTAGCAGTAGAATTGGTATTACTTATCTCCTAGGGGAACTCCGGTGAGAAGCTTCTCGAGAATTTCCGCCTTTTTCTTATCACTTAATATCCACAACGAACGCTTATCCTTATCACCTCCAAAGATCACCTGGCTTACTCGTGAGCATAATTTTATGCAACTTTCCCTACCATAATTGTTTCGGGCAGTTCACCACCCAACAACCACTGATGCATAGCTAAAGTCTTCTGTTCGAGGGCATCATCACTGACCTCACCAGCGACCAGGGCCTGGAAGGTTGTGACCAGGGGCTGACCACATCAAGAAGGGCCTACCACTGCCTGCTGCTTCTCGGGCCAGTTTTCGAACATTCTCATCATTCTACGTACGAAACTTTCCCTAAAAGTGATGGTGACAGTGGTGGTGACACTGATCTTCCGTATCACCCAGCAGCCTTCTTCTTATCCTGTTGTTCTTGCTTGGGAGAAGATGCGTTCTTAGGAGAGGAGCTCCTGTCCAGCTTCACGGAGGCCCCATCAGAAGGCCTACGACTTGCTGGTGTGGTAGGGCTCAATGTTGGGTCAGTCATAATATGGCAACGTCCCACTGCCTTCCTAATATTATTAATACCAATGGTATACTCAACACAAGGCCAAGATCTTGTAAATTCGTCTAAAGTGATCTTCGAGAAATATCATGAAGTTGCAGCTAGGGATGCAGCAACGTACCCTAGCCTTGGAACTGCGAGAAATGTCGAAGTCAACTCTACACCAATAGAAAACGGCAGAGATGAGTCGAAAAAATTATTCGATTGTGATGGCGCGCGCTGTCTCATCGGCATTTTGAATTTTCGACACGTAATGACGGCTTGTTACGCCTTGCAGTTCCAAATCCGTCTTTCGTGATCCCTCTGTAGCTGCTGTCCTCTTCAAATTTACTATGAGTACGGGCATCATCGCGACGCTACAGGATCCTGAGAAACGCAAAATGTGGCTGGCCAACAATATGGTAGTAGGGGTATTAGGTGGGTATAAAATCTTCACTGTGCGTGACACTGCTCAGGACAACATACGCTTCTGGGGTATCTTCTGCCTGGTGGGCTTGGTATTGTTCTATGTCTCCTCCGATTGGGACTTTTCAGTGCTTCTTACGATCAGCTCTATGATAAGTATGTTCTCGTTTTTAATGGTAGTAGTGAAAATAGGTAGGCTGAGAAAGTGCTGCTATGGTCAAATGAAAGGTTCTTAGAAACGTCCAAGTCGGTCAGTGGAGTTTCACTGAAGATGTTCGAATGCTATACACTAGTCAGCGTTTGCAGGCTAGGGTCCATCATCCCTTTTGACGGGTACTGTTCCTAACCTAATCCGTATCTAACCAGCTTGAACCTAAGATACCTTCCCTACGACCGTTCCGGAGATTGGCTATATCGACTAACAGAGGTTATCAGTCTCTGTCTAGCAAGCACTGTTGTGTACTCTCGAATCACAACCCCTTCTTCCTAATCATACCACACCTCAGATACTTCTGCCGCGTTCGATACAGAGCGACCTATGAGGCCGGAGCTGACACCTTGAAACACGTGTACCTGATGATTATAGCGCTGGTCTTGGCCGGGATATTTCACCCGAGGCTCAATGCCTTCATGCCTGCCGACATTGCGTGGGCTTATGCGCTCTATCTTGAATCTGTTACAGTGTTACCTCAGCTGTTCATGTTCCAGAAGCAAGGAAAGGTAGATGATGAATGTCAGGTTGGTGTGGTATCATCTGGTGTAGGTCGAAGCCTTCACGAGCCACTTCCTTGCTGGCCAGGCTCTGAGCAGGGTAGTAGTGTTGAAGAGGGTAGCCAGTGAGGTTGTATTTCTGATAGGTTTGCTCCTTCATCTTCTGGTGGTCATCCTATAAGGAGTTGAACGATCATAGGCATCCTATCAAGGCTTATGTTGGGTAACAGCTGCCATGGGGAGCGGCAACTCGTGATGAGTCATATTTGGACCTCGAAAGTATCTTTTATATCTTAAAGCGGCATGAGGAAATATGCACATGGGCAACTACACGTTTTGAAATTCTGAGGAAAATCAGGGAAATTATTTTTTCTGTATACTTGTACACTAATCCGTATTTAAACTCCCATAATTTGTGGAGAAACTCCAAAGCTCAGGTGAGGAAAGTGAATATATATTGAGACTTCGAAACGCATTCCTGTCATTACTATTGCGTTAAAAATATAATCCTTGTAGGTATTGGGTGATGCTCATGCAGTTGTTGCAGTTGATTGTGATGGGAGACTTTATATACCACTACATAAACTGGTAGGAGTCTCACTCTCCCCTACTGGCTCGAGAGTTCACGTCCTTTTCTCAGCCTCCGTAAGGGTGTTCCGGTCACACATATCTTGAGCGATGTTGTATAGTGCTTCACAACTACTACCACTAGTATTCGCGGTTTACGGCTAAAGTGCTTCGGTGGGTGACAGAATAGCATTAACATGGTTATACGATGGGACGGGTTTTGAAATGGCCCTGCGTTCAGTATTAAAATCGTATTTTCGACGCGACTATGTGTTGGGTTAGAAGTGGGAAGTGGCTGGAAATGCGCTTGAGGGCGTGGTGATTTTCAGTTTGGACTCGAAATTTTGTAAATACGAAAATGATATCTTCTTAAGTGAACGAATGCAGAAAATAGTTGTTGGTGGACAGGCTAAAACCGTCGTTTACCATATTGCGTTGAAACCACTTAATGGTGAGTGTGAGTGAACCAACACGGCACGACGGTACAGAGTTGCACGCGTGCGCAAGAAGGCATGCAGTCCTGATCTCAGCAACAGGACAGTATCAGTCAACATCTTTCATCCGAGTACAGAAGACGATTCTGTGCATCCGTACAATCCTTTAGTCATGCGTGCGCTGCACGCGAACACACACAGTAGTCGCTTCGGCTTGTGACCAGTGTTGTGGGTCCAGTTTGCCTGCACCGTTGCTATCTTATTTAACCTTCGCCTTTCTCTTCATAGCATATGAGCTCAATATCGCTTACTGTGCTGAGCATTGTGTGGTATTCGTACAGAACTGAGGTGCAGGTAGTGCGCTTATTATTATTGTCCTAGGGTCGTAGTATTGGTTGCTCTAGCTCGAGTTCCCTCGTTGTATTGTTCTTAGAGTTCATCAACCGATACCGCGACTCCCATAAGATTGGTTTTGCTTGTCTACGCTCAAGTCACGAAATCCCCCAGTGTTATAACAATTGTGTCGGTACAGTTTCTCGAGTATCTTCCAAGCTGCGCTAGGCGAGTAGTGCTAATAGGTAATCATTAGTTAAACAAGTCTCAAGTAATTATCATTTCCCTGTGATACATGATCTCGTTAACCCAGGAGACTGGACGTATCCCTGCTACCCAGTGTTACACCAATCACGGTACATAGGGTTTGTGCCGAGGGCGTTCCTACATACCCTGTCGAATGATAGGCAGCAATCACAGCAGATAAGAACCGCAGCTCTGGTGAAAAACACTTGGTTTTTTGTGAAGTACCCTTACTCTATCCGTTCTGTGGAATGGGCGTAGACCGAAAAAATATGATCATATAGATCGCGGTTCGCTTACATTTTCGTCCTTCCGAAAAAAGCTTCAAAGAATTTTTTTATGAGCATTGCGAGTGGAATTCACCCTGGGGATTCCATTGGCATTCGCGCTCTCTAGGAGCTTGGTGAGTGCGTCACGCAAAATTCACAAAAAACATCCTGGGTGCGTTGTGCATGGCCATGAATTTGTTTGGGGGGTTGTTCGACTTTCTCTTCAACTCAAGAACATGTGAATCTGCTATAAAAATCTTTTCAGGAAATCACATGTTACTGCCTAGCGTGCTGTTGATATCAAATTTTGAATTCGGGTTTTCATTGTAATTTTATGTCATCATGCTGACTACAAATAGAATCCCTATCGTATTCGAACAACGACGCACATCTCCTATCACATTATGGCGGGGCTTTAGCTCCTCCACTGCACCGCTCCCGCTGCACGGCGTTAGGGTCATAGACCTTACCAGGATCCTAGCAGGACCGTATGGGGGGATGATGCTAGCAGATTATGGCGCAGGTGAGAGACAGACGGCTCACCTTACTCTTGGACTCTTTGTGTGGTAGAGGTGATCAAAGTGGAGAAGCCTGGTGTTGGGGACGATGCTCGAGCCTGGGGTCCACCATTCACCCACAAGGGTCGTGAATCTGCCTACTTTATAGCTCCTAATAGGTAGACTGCCTTAGAGGAGATTAAGTCGTGCCTGTCAACACTACAGGAACAAGCATAGCATTGGAGTAAACTTGAAGACTCCTGAGGGTCAGCAGATTATTAAGGATCTTGTTAAAGTCAGCGACATCGTCATAGGTTCCACGAATGTTGACAAGGGTGTGGTATGACTTTCCATCTCAGAAAATTACGTGCCGGGTACGTTGGCTAAGTATGGGCTCGATTATGAATCTTTGCGTAAGTTCAACCCAGCCCTGGTATACGGTAGTCTTACTGGCTATGGTGACACAGGACCGGACAAGGATAGACCAGGTAGGTGATTGATCCAACGTGTCACCATCGTCTCTGACATAGGGTATGCTTTGATGGTGGAGGGCCGTTGTGGTATGATGGCATGCACGGGCATAGGAGATCAACCTGTTAAGATCGGCGTTGCTTGGACTGATATCCTTGCTGGTCTACACCTTCACGGTAAGTGAATACAGTGCTTGTCAGTATTGTGTGCGAAATGTGCGTCATTTTCTGAGGTTAATGAGAATTGATATGAATCCCTACGTATACAATGTAACTACTGCTATGAGCAATTCTTTTTGTCATCCCGGGCTCGCCCAGGTTTGCCGAATTTAGTATGCAAACGAACGATGTGTCCGATTACAGCGCACTGCCCTTTTTACTTCATGACCGCCATCCATTTTTCTCAGGTGGGGTATTGGCGGCCCTGTACAACGCCAAGGTGACTGGTCAGGGCCGGCATGTGAAATGCAGTCTGTTGGAGTCGCAAGTCTCTGCTATGGCTAATGTAGCCAGTGGTTACCTTATAGGTGGTGTAGAGTGCGCACGTATGGGGACGCAGCACCCGAATATCGTCCCGTATGGAGTAGGCTGCCCTTTGCCCCATGGGGCTCTCCTATTGCTCCTGGCAGGCTTTCCCCACCGCTGATGGTCACATAGTTGCTGGGGCATTGAACGATGCTCAGTGGAAGAGTTTTTGTAACGTCTTGGGCAGACCTGATTTAGAGGAGGATGAGAAGTAGAAGACTTTAGGGAGATCCCCATTCAGTGCTCTTGTTAGGTTCAAGACCAACGAAGCACGCTGTAACCACAGAGATGAGCTCAATGGTATCTTAAATGAGATACTTAAAACGAAGAGGACAGAGGAATGGATGGCCCTACTTGACGTTTTGCCGCATAAGGAGCGACTCGCCCATGACAAGCTTCAGAACATGCAAGGGGTGAGTTGGACTCGGTTCTTGATTCGGGGGTCGAAAGCGTGTAGGTATTCTCTGACCCGCAAGTCTTGGCAAGGGGGATGAAGTTGACAGTAGAGCACGCTACTGCAGGTACGGGTTTTGTTGCTATCGTCCTACCTCACGCACTGTGCTCAGGTCCAATTGATGTTGTTGGCCCCGCGGTGAAGTTCGAGCCGGCGCCTCTCAAGGGGGAGAAGTCCTTACCACCACCAGCGCTCGGTGAACACACTAAATGGGTGCTGCAAAAGTGTCTGGGCTACTCTGATGAGAAGATAGCGAGGTTGGCTGAAGACCGGATCGTCCACATCATGACTAATGAGCCATTGTAGAGCATTTCACTACACGAGCCCAAGAGCGCATGGTCTTCTATATAACTTCTTTCAAGTCAGAAAAGTTCGTATGCTCAGGGCCGAGCTACTCAGTTTTGATACTCACGGTGGAGGTTTTGTATGAGTATTTTACTCTCGGAGTCTCAGAGGGCTGAAAGATTGTCGGCCAGTTCATATCTTTCGCCGTGGGGCTCTGACGATTATCGACTTTCTAAATGCACGCCTTGTGTCTGTGGAGTGTGAACAAGTCTTTGATGTAGCTATGATAAGGACATCTGGAGTCTAGGTCTTGAGAAACAGGTTGAAAGCATATACATTTCGAACGCGGTCGTATACTGTTGGTCTTCCACAACCAGTAGGGTTGAGTTCTACTCGAAAGGCTCTACTGTGTATTGGGCACAGGACCAAGAAGGAGCTATCAAGGAGTTAAACCTTCCTATGTCTGGACATCGTGAGTTTCCTGAGTTCAGCAGTTGCTGACAAATGAGCATCGACTGGGCTCAATCAGCAGCCTCCAGGCTTGTGATTAGTGGCGAAGTGGAGTTTCTCTTGAATGACGAAGACTCAGAGGGCCGAAGTTGAACACCTATAAAATACGCTTGGATTCTCTATGTCTACTGGTGTTACTCGTCACAAGAAGCGATAGCGCATGCGTGCAAAGACGCACCCGGGTTCGATCCTAGGGTCCGTATTTTTTATTTCGCATCTCCCCAGAGGCTCAACAAAGTGAATATTTATTTCTCAGCGTGTTAGTTTGTATATCATGGTTCAGCCAGTATTCGAAGACTCAACGGTAGCCCTATCATCGTGTTTCCTCTGCGGAGTGCTCTTCTTTGCGGAGTTCTACCGCCTCAAGGGGGATGTTAATAAAGCGAGCCAATACGTGGCAATGTTCCATCATGTTGTCTCTACTGTACTAGCAGCTGCTGTCATCATTATCAACTGGGACTCCCTATGGACCTTGGCTAGCTTCGGGTAAGGCAACAGGACACCAAGGAAGCACCTTATGGGTTTTTTCATACTAAGCACGTGTGTTAATAGCAACTAGAGGCTCTCAGTGATAGAGACATCGCAACAACTACTTCATAGAGTGGCATCCAGTTGAGAATCATCCTTAAACTACTGTATGGCGACTTTCAGGTACAACACTGACTATTCCCTCGTCAACATACTACAACATTTCAACATTGGCTATTTCACATACGACCTGGCCCATGTTCTCACTTGGGACCGCAAGTTCCTCGGTCATCATGTAGTTGCCATTGCTGGTAGCTCCTCTCCTTCCTATGAGGTCGCGTCTTATGCCGTTTTCAGGTTTCCTTACGTCTGATGTCGCCAATGTATTCGGCCTGGCTAATGCTGTGAACACTTTCATCACGGAGTTGGGTTCAATAATGTACAACTACTACAATACTAGACGCTCTACTACGACCTATACAGTCTTCGTGGTAGCGTATTCGATCTCGAGAGCCTTCTTACTAACATGGAGTTTCCGTGTGCTCTGGCAAGCGACTCATCCTCCGGCCGATTACGTGTACCCATTTTGGGCGCCTTATGCGATGGTCATTTTGCAGTCGTCAATTTTCATCATTAACTTCAAGTTCCAGTTAACTCACTTGAGGAAACTATATAGGATACTCTCCGGACAGAAGGCCGCACCAAAGCCAGTCAAGAGTACTGAGACTGAACTGCAGTCGGGTGGAGAAGCGGTCAACAACAACAAGGAGGAGGAGGAAGAGGAGGAAAGCGTCAGCGACGATGAGAATCCGGCCATTCCAAAACGAATTTTACGTAATCGTGCTAATGGTGTTGCCCTTGGAGAGACGACCACAGTAGCTTAACAAAGGTCTTCCTTAAATACCATCAATATCATTCATCGGAGTTGTTTCTACTGAGACTGCTATTTACCGAGGCGTTGATCCATGGATCAAAGCTGACCTAAAATACCCTGTGAGAATCGCTCACAGCCCTTTATGCTCGGGCGGATTGTTGAGTACTTTCCTCGACTACAGCGTCGTGTTGGTTGGGGAGAACGATGATATGTATAAAGTGTCGAGGCGCTGTTCTCGATGTCTCAGTATTCGTTTTTACGTCCTTCTTGGTCACCTCCTGCTAACCTACCTTGGGACGATAGGAAAGGTCCTAAAGTAGCAGCCGTGATGTTCACTGAAGACCCGACTGGTGTCGTCACATCCTTTTTCCTATGCGGCTCGGTTTTCATGTTCTACCTCTACCAGAACGGGAGTGTTCGAAAGTCGTGCGATCTTGCCTCGATGTTCCACCATGTGACAGCGATGGTGATAGCTCTTGCGGTGATCATCCTAAACTGGGATGAGCTGGTCTCGACCAATGCCTCTTACGCGTAATAGAAGGCACATGGACGAGTGTCGCCGACTTCGTATTTTTAGGTATAATTCGGATCATAAGTTGGTCAATACACTACAGTACTTCAACATAGGCTACTTTTTGTATGACTCAATACACGTGTTATCGTGGGACAGGAAGTTCATCCCTCATCATGCTGTGGCTATCGCTGGTAATAAAGGGACATACTAAGCGTAGTAGGCCCTACCTAGTCGTGTTGAGAACCATTCACAGTGAAAAAAGTATCAACGTGAATACCTCTTTTCGAACCGAGGCAAAGAACGCCCTATTTGGTCGTCACTGAGGGTAGGGAACTCTCGGATGTTGCGGTTTTTGGAGCTATATGGCAATATCGTTGCTAGCGTTGAAATATATGCTCGCTTTTCTCAGCTGATAACAGCAGTTTCCTCGCTAGTCCAAGAAGTAAGCATACGAATTTGAGTAGAAGTGTATAGAAAGCAACAAGAATTTCGCGAATTTCCATATTGTCACCAACACATGTAGTTGAGCATATGCATATTCTCCAACACTGATCGTTACTATCCTGTCAGGTTTTGGTCTGTCGGATGTCTCAAACGTTTTCGGTCTGGCAAATGCCGTGAATACTTTCATCACGGAAATGGGGTCTGTCATGTACAACTACTACAACTCGCATAAGTCCACCAAGACCTATATCGTATTCGTGGCGGCCTATTCTGTATCTAGGTTGGTCTTCCTGGCGTACAGCGTGTTAGTTTTCTACCAAGCTTTGACCCCACCACTGGAGTCGGTGTACCCTTGGTGGGCCCCTCTAGTTATGATATCTCTCCAGGCGATGCTATTCGTGGTGAATTTAAAGTTCCTCCTCACACACTGCCGCAAACTGAGGAGAATCTTGCGGAAGCAACGAGAGGAAACGGGAAGTAAATGCCAACGGAAGGCCGCGACTACGACAACGGTCGCTGAGGAATGTGTGATTTCTGACGATGAGAAAACGGCGCGGGAGAGTAAGGTTCCAGTGATTGGGAGGAATCCTTCACAATGGCCAGCTTGAAATGCTGAGGGTTTACAGTAGCAACTAAAGTGTAGCTCTTTTCATTGCTCTTTGTGGTGTTGAGATAAGTGATTGCTCTGGGGGGGATATGGTCGGAAACATACAACAGCGTACACAACACACGACAGGAGTTTGTGAGAGAATGTTCATACTCATCGGAGTAGTGGTTAGCTAGGTATGGGTTGGAAGGTCATCGAAGCCTACATCACACAGCTTGTTCTGTTCTGTTTTGGTCCTGTCTGACATCCTAGCGTAGGATTCCTAGGGTATTACAGTCTCTCCCATCTCTAGCTGATCTGAGCGATGCCGCCTACTTCATATGCATGCTAGAAAACTGCTAGTCGTGGGCACCTCGAATTCATCATCTGCAAGACGCTGTTGGTCATCTATAAGCATCTATAGAGCTGCCAGCCCTCTCTCCTTGGGGTCACTGTTGTGCATGTCCTGGCCTAAGACAGAGCCTTGACAGATCCAAAGTTAAGGCGATGAGTCATCGCCCATTGTCATCGTCGATGACAATGGGCACGAAACGTGTAGAGAAAGACGGACGCATGAATGCTACCAGAGACGACCATGGACAAATTCGGGGAAGGTTGGGATCACCATAATCGATGAGCCTAAGGCTTTCGGTGAAAGAAGATACGGCTATAATATGGGTTCGGCATGTATATCCATGCACTATGCGATACTCTTTCCACTTGCGTTTGAGTAGGCGTTTCGGGATTCGACCGGATTGGTGTTAGCCATCAGGATGCCACCAAGACGTTCAGTTGCCGCTAAGGCCGAGGCCGCCCCTCTTGCCTACAAGCTACGTTACTGTGATAAGGACAGCATATCCCCAATTTACACTGTTCGGTCTGTTGCGAGGTCAGCTCTACAACAGCATCTACCTTGTTCTTGTGCATGCGTGCCGATGATGATGAATAGGTCTTCACTGACCCTGTCTGTGCTACGCCTTGTGGTCATACCTTCTGTCGGGAATGCCTCTATCAGTGGCTCGAGCTCAGAAACACAACCTGCCCAGAGTGGTAGGTGATACCTGAGCTCGCAGTGCGTAATCTCTGATTCCAGTCGTGCTACGATTATCAAACAGAATTGCCATAACGATCTCATGGCCCGAAAGTTCCTCGATGAACAGGACGTGTAAGCAGCCGCCCATGCCCTACTCAGACGATCGCTAGCGTCAGGTATTGTCCATTCCGAGGTTGCCAGTGGGACGGTAAGCATGGGGACCTCGAGGCCCATATGGGAGACTGTGATTGCGATCCCAGTAGAGTGCCGGATTTCTTAAAGTGAAGAGCATTTCCTCGGGAGGTGTATGTTCAGTGTTCGTTGCTCAGATCGTCATCCCTAGATGATCCAGAGGGTACAGTGGATGGTGTGGTGATGGGAGGGGCCCTAGGGTGATGAGAGGCCCTTAGGCAGACGAACAAAAAGGTCCCCTTTAGATGGAGTTATTACGACAGAATAACTCGAGTCTATTCAAGGCAGCCGAGCAGGGCTTTTTTACTCGTTCTGCCGTCCCTGTGGAGGAGATACTGGACGACGACGATGAGGGCAGTAAGGAGGGGAACGCTCCATTGTCACATGAAGGCTCCCTACATGGTAGACATGACTCAGCCTCCCGAGCCCACATAGAGGGAAAGTGAAGCGATTGCCATACCAGATTCCTGACCTAATTACTATCCATATATGTCACTATTACTGCTCACGTTAAGCGTAATCTTGAAGCCTGGTGTTGGTCAATGAACTGTTGCTGCTACTGTATGATGAGAGGATCAGCAAGGAGATAGTTTATCGGTACTCTACGGAGGGTAGGTCACCACATCGACAGTGTCGATTCGACACCTTCAGTTCTGCGAAAGCTACCATCACTATGGACCAGCATGAGCTTTCTTTATACCCCTGTGCTATAGGTGACGGGGAGGCGTCCGTTTGTGAGGACACTCTCCTTCGAGATCGAATCTTGACAATTGATGAATAGGCGTATGCTATGATACAGCATGTTGCAGCGTCACTACCCGATCGCCTGGTGACAAGAAGTGGAGCCTACCCTACTATCGAGTGGCCGGCCTCTGGCCCTTGTATAGGTGTCCACGAATAAGTAACAACAATTTTGTCATCAAGACTCCCATTGTCTTGTTGTTCAGGTCCCCCGGAGTATTGTACGAATGCGACTACATCAAAGCAAGAAGGCTGCTGCCCAGGAGGGGCTACTGGCCTCAGTGAGGTCCCTTCAACAGCGACCCGCACTGCTGGAGGCGTGATCAGCGCAGCCTCATTGTCCATCACTAGCATGGTTAGAGATGCTTACGGTTCAAGTTTAGTCTTTCGACCCAAATCTGTATTCAGGATCCGCTGTCCTGCTCACCATACCATTTTAAGTGAGTGAGATGTGGATCTCACTGGTAGCATTCTGACGTGGTTTTATGAGGTATGGAAGCGGACAGTCTCGCCGTCACAATCGTGAAATGACATCACGCGGAACAAACTACTGACTAAGTAAGTATTGACTATTTCCTGACTGCTTATCTGGAACTTAGAACTTGTATGTTTCGGACAACACTGAGAGGTGAACAATATTCAGCACAGCATGATGATCATTAGATCTTCTTATCGATGCTTGCAGATTGCCTTCACCATATACTGTTCCTTCAGGAAGGGCTTGGGGTTGCCGAAAATATTTGAATACTGTCTCACACCAGCTATGCATTTATCTAATACGCTGTTGTACACTCCAGGAGGTACCGGCAGTCTCTCGACCTCCTTGATGTCCCTGACAGTAGGGGTATGTGTTACCGAGAGTTAGAACATGACTTACCCAGTCAAGTGATTGGCTGGGCACCTCCAGGCAACTGGATGAACCTTCCCGTCTGTCACACTGAACCATATGGTCTTATATGATGCACCTTCAAAGTACGATAAGGAGCAGTCGGGATCTATCTGTTCAGCATCGTCGATATGCAGTTCTTGGGGACCACCGTTTTTCAAGGGGCCATCCACCTAAACGAAGTGGGTGTAAATAGTGGACTCGCCATAGCATCTAACCTTCAATTGACCCCCGGACATAGTGAACCCTTCGTTCACTTTTCGTCGAGTCAGGGCAAAAGTGCTGCTTAATACCCAGTAAAGATGCAGGAGAAAGCTCATTGCTGCAACTCGCAAAACGTCCCTTGGAAACTGCGCACATGCTGTATTTTCGGGCGTGCGCTACTTACAAAGCGCTGGTTTACCGACTGGTGGGCAACACCCCTCAGAGGTTCAAAGGGAAAACATTTGGGGTTGTCAAAGGCCATATGCTCACAGAAAAGAGGACGCTCAGTGTTGATTTTCCCCGAACGTATCGGTATGATGCACTTTTGGCGTAGGAACCTCCGGACGAATCGAAACTATAACAAAATATGTATTTGACCACAACAGCAAATAGCTTGTTCACACCACCCTAGTCATGTTCATGGTTTCAGTGAAGGAGTCAGTTAACAACAAAAGCATCATTTAGCCACATTCATTCAACGAACTCTTCCTCGCTTCTCTCCGCCTGAGAATGAGAACGGTCATATCAAACCAGGGTTAAGAGACCTTCAGCTCTCCGGTACCTCTTCCCGGCTTCGGATCCTATTGATCATCTCGTAATCTCTCTTAGTTAGAGATAGGGTCATCTTGGCCGTGCCCAAAGACTTCTCGCGGCTTCCATTACTTCTGACACTCTTCACAGCGACCTTAGCTTGAACTCGGCGTCCTCTCCCATCTATTGTCTGTGGTTTTATCGACATCGTGACTTCGGTGCCATCGTCAGTGGAAAGGCGTCCATTCACCGGGTCAAGACGACCATCGTGTAGAATCGACGCCTTAATTGGTTTTCCAACATACGCCGACAACTTCAGCCTGGTCGCATCGTCGGGATCGAGTTGGATCTCGGATGCGTCCACCTACTGAGAACAGTCAAGTGCCGAAAAACTCCAGAGTTTACCTTTGGTTCGAACAGTGTGTCTGCGAAATCATCTTGAATCTCTAAAGTGACCGTCATCAAACCGCGGCGTACGATACTTCCTTTGTCTCTCAGAGGCTTCAGCATCACTTTGCCGGTCCACTTGTTGGCACCCGTCTTGGCAAACGTTTTTGGTTTGAGAGATATTGAAGTAGTGGGGTCATCATTGCCCTCGATCTCCAACTGATTATTGGCTTTAATAGTCAACCCTCTAGGACCAGCCTCGCCCTCAATGTTAAGACGATCCATATTGCTCTGGGTGAGCAATATCTTCGTCTCCTATAAATGAAGTGAATGGACGCCCACAAGAACTCTGCTAAAACTTACCTCAATAGGGCCGTCTTCCTCGTCCGAATGCTCCTCGATCTCCCTCGCCTCGAAGCCATTACTTCGTTGCCTCCAGCTCTTAACTAGATGCCCAAACATCATCGAGTAGACCTTCTGTGTTTCTCCCTCCGCGAGCTCTTGGATACTCCCATCCAGCTTGATAGTAGCCCGAATGCTCCTCGTCCCACGGAGGCGTTTATCTTTTACTCGAACTTTCCCATCGAAGACATTCTCATCGGTCATGATCAAACCCTTAGGGCTGAGGCTGAGACCCTTAAGCCCGCCGTCAAGCAAGTTGATACGGTAATCAGGCTTTAATTGCATTTCATGGCACTGCCCAGGCTTGGAGTCAACCTGTGGGATCTCTTCTGCGAAGCAGACTTCTCCCTGAAAGCAACCATAGTGATAGCGAAGACCTCATTAAGTAGCCTACGTTCAGCTCGGCACCCTGGACAAGCCCGAGTGGCCCACACCATATGAGAATGAGGAAAATCATTGATGCAGGATGGAAAAAATTTGTATCCACGAAGCCAGGATGGCCCCTCCTCAACTCAAGGCTGTCAGTATTCACTCGGGTTCACGAGCGACATCGTTTTATGGACATTCCTGATAAAAATGCCGAGAATACGGCGACAACACAATCACTGAGCATCTACGAGGTATGATTTGATCTTGCGAGGCAATCAGAGTTGCATACGTTGTTGTATGTCGCACCCTAAGGAGCGTCTATGTCGGCCGAAGTGCCCCATGCGCTCGGAAGTGATGCGGGCAAGCCCGCAGAAGATCCTTTCGCCGGCTCGTGTTCATTGACCTCAGCTTCCTTGAACAGACTTTGCATAGCGTCTCCCTGAGGGCATGCGGACATCACAATGCGAAACGAACTTAACTTACGATGTCATATTCATTCACAGGGACCGTTGTGGGGGACGGCACCTGAATGCAAACGGACGATTATAGTCAGGAAGCATACATCATGACCACCGGAGGCGGAAACCCTACCCGAACTCCCCAGCCTCGAGCGACATCTCCGAACAGCTTCATGTACATGTCCACATTATCGCCTTGTAGACTTTCTTCGACGGTTCCCTCAAGCTCGATGGTTGCTGGTATAGTATTTGGGGGGCAGCAGGGGTGACCCTTACGGCCCCTCTTCTTCACTCGCACTTTGACGGTGAAGACGTTATCACGAACCATCGTGAGGTCCCTTCCGGTGAGGGAGAGCCCCACCTCCTTAGGCAAGCCCGGCTCTTCAACGAGCTCGATACGCTGATCGCGGTAAACTTTCATCTTGTGGCAGTGGACGGATTGCCCAGAAGGAGACGTCGGGTTGGTGAAGACGTTACGGAAGCTCTCTCTTTCAACCGAATCTTCGAAGCAGACATTCCCCTGAAAGGAGATGTTTTCAAAGCCGACATTCTCTCGCTATAGATCACCTGGAGGAATCTCCCTGCCTTGTGGGTCAAAGATGCGAAACCTGTCGAGAGGCCGCCAACGGTCAGGATGAGACGCATTAACAAGAACAGCTCTGCTGCAACCGCACCAATGGCAGAGGCTGCCACCTCTCTGTTCACATATCTTAGAGCCATCTTACATCACCCCAACCCGACAACAGAAGGCTTTCACAAGCAAATTGACATCAAGCCGTTATGCATGGCTTATCCGTGAGTTGAAGGAATCGTCAATGGTGCTGCAAGTCAATTCCGTTGGGGAAACCGCTTCCCTGTGTGTGGGAAGGGAGATGGGATACGTAATGTATGGGATATGATATATAGACATGGTTTCTGATAGGCTATAAAGCCTATAACGGTGATCGGATAAATACAGTATAGGAGACAGCAGACAGAGGTCTCCTCGGGTACACGCCGTCTCGACTCCTCGGCGGGTCGCCGTCTCGAGGGTTCGGACAAGTGCAAGTCTTCCGATCCCAGTCCCCCTTATGGCGATTGATGGGTAATTCATGGAAATGGAGCCTTTTGAAGGGGCGATTCAGAGTTTGTACCCGGAGAAAAAATCACTCAGTGAGTAATAGATGAGTGACTAGGTTTGGTGATTTTTGCGCCGACCAACCAGTCGGTGCAGCTCGGCACGCTTGTGGCCGAGCCATACAAGACAGGCTTTTCAACTTGAGTAGATCACCAAAGACGACCTTCAAGTCCAGGCCACCAACCACCGAGAAGGAGACCCTTTTGGGTCGGTGTTGGTCGGCATGATCTCTCACCTTGTGGCTCATTCGTGGAGGCGGCTCCAAGAAAAGTTTTCCCACACAGATCCTGGCAGCAAACTACCTCGGCCATGGCACTCTGCTGATGGTCGAGGCTCGGCCGCCGAGCTACAGATGCCATCTGCGGGCCAGGGTCGACCCCAGAACATTTATGAGCTGACCGGAGCCAAGCAGGCTCAGCATGCGTCAAGTTCCCAGTTTGCCCTTGCGGAGCTGAAGAGACCATTCGCTTGGACTGAAAGAACAAGAGAGTAACATCACGGTCAGCGAGCCTGTGAGCTGCTCATGGTCGATAACTCATCTGCCGACTTGACGAGACCCAATCCACACTAAGTGTTGGTAAACTGAGTATGGTTCTCAGTGGGCTACCCCCGCCGGCTGCCACGCCTCCAGGCGTATGACGCTGCGCCTAGCCGACTATGAGGTCTCATGCGTCTCGCTATCTTTCGGAATAGGCTTGGCAAGGCATTGCTCTCATCTCACAGATCGTCTTCACTACGTCCCACGTGGACTTTTTCTTTATGGCTGGCTATCGAGAGTCAGCGCGAGCACTCTGACTGAGCCATGAAGACTTTTCTGATCGTTTGTGCCTGGCGTCGCTGCCATATGGGAAAGTTGTTTAGTGTCTTCGCAGTGGAAAATTCAGTGTTGGTTACGCAGTTTACCGCTGAGTTCCTGGTAGGTTGTCCGCCCACTGGATAAACTCAATACGAATTCATTATCATGGTGATACTCCCTGTCACTCCCGCACTGATAGCAATAACAAGAAGATGTAATAACAGGTATTAGAATAAGAACTATGCTCACCGCGACGACGAAGATGTAGACCAGATGTATGCCTCGTTGGAGCTGTCCGACACCACTCACTCCGATGGCCTCAAAAACACTCAGGGGGCTTATCTAGCTGATCTCGACACCAGGAGACGAGCCCGATTCAGTCATGACAACACGAGCCGCTGAGAGACCCAGCATGACACTACCTACGAATCAACACAAGACGAATCACAACGTCAGAAACCTGCACTACAACCCGTCCGAGAAAGCCCATGGCCGGCATGAAACCAATCAGAATCGGAGCCTCCAAGGCCGATGTCAACACTAAGGCCATACGCCGACGTCTCGACCAACATCTTCGGTCCAACGATCCTTCGCAGCACCATGGCGACATCACCGTGAATACGACTACTGGCTGCGTCGTCCACAGCAAAGCCTTGCATCGCTCCGCTAACGACCATTTCAATTTCCTTTCGGTCAGTCATCAGCGGCGAAGGGGTGCAGAGGCTACTCCAGAGGCTCGCTATAAAGAGCTGTCGAGCCGTAGCCTCCCCTTCTTCATCATAAAACTTCCATACAGTAGCCACTACGGGCACAAGTTCGGCAACTCCCACCTCCCTTCGGTTCACCGATGCCGCTATTGCACGTAATAGTCCCGCTGCATGGCGGCCTGTGGCGTTGCTGGGGGGATAGGAGCACGCCTTTATAGCTGCATCTAAGAGCTCATCAGGTAGAGCACAGCCAAGGTCGCTCAAGGCACACACCACATTAGAAAGATGCCGCCCCGAACCACTCCGTGCCACCGTCGGTGACGTTAGATTTATGAAGCGAAGCAAATTGTCATCAGCATACCGCAGGGAAGCGAAGGCCCATAGGACATTAGCAATAGCCCGATGGGATGGCGGTTCAGTTGCCATCCTTCTACCCAGGGCAGAGGCTGCTCTTGCTAGCCTCTCTAATACAATAGTGTCTGCCTCGGAACCGACCCCTACGGCAACACCCCAGAGGACCATACCGAACTCCTCCGGACGAAGCACACCCCAGTCTGTTCGACGGAGCACTCGTCCGATTATGTACTTACGTATGGCGTGGATGCCCTCGTCAGCAGCTAGAGCAGCCGCTGAAAGCCGAGCCAAGCCCCAGATGGTGTTGGCGTCCTCCTGGTCTTTGAAGTCGTCACTAACGGCTGTACATGCACTCAGAAGACGCAGTAGGAAGTCACTAGGAAGAGGCAGCTGGATGGTCCCCAAAGACCACACGATATTCGATACATGCCGGGATTCGAACCCGATACCATCCCTACGGAAGAACTCCACCATAACCTTCTTAACTATTTCAACTATATGTTCTCGAGAACCATCCTCCTCCTCCGCCGCAGCCGAATAGCAAGAAGCACACCCCCACATAAAGTGCGCTATGTGATGCGGCAACATTTTATCATCAATTACAGCCCTTCGACCAACACCTTCTACCACTCCTTTCCAATCAATTACATCACTCAGTCTACCACAAGCCCACAAGGCGTTACTCAGCATCCCTGCTGTCGGCTGGGACTGCCTCTCATGGGGAGTCAGCAACAGGCGAGCAACTCGGTCTGCCACTTGCTGACGAGTACTGCAAGTCCCAGGAGTTTTGTGGCGCGCGAAGCGATGCAGGGCTGTCAAAGCGTTCTGGAATCCAAGTCTATGCACTGAGTAGGTACAAGAGTCCAGACATTCGAGGACCTGACCACGTACACATACGCACAGCGAAGATTCCTAAGATTCCTCCAAAGACCTGATGATGAGACTGGCATGCTGACAGGGCGTTATTGAGGCTGATAGCTGCATTGACATCTCGAGTGGCCCTCACCACAGCAGTGCCGAATCCACGCCTTCTGTCCCCAGACAAGCCTCGTACCAAGGCGAACACCATCGCCTTGTGGGATCCGACCGCCAATACCATCAGTAACTAGAAAGCGAAGGACCCCTGCACCCGTTAGCCCTCCCCCTACTACTAATACAACGCAACGATCACTACCAGTCACGAGACTCGCCGCCGTAGTAAACGGAAACTCACTACAGCTGCAGCACAAATCCCTAGTGATACCAGAGCAAGTCTAGCCTTATTAAACCCTTCTCCTCCTGCTCCGGGAATAGGCTGGACCACGGTACCCGACCCAGCTGCCCAAGCCGTGCCAAGGTCCTCCAAATCGGGTACCATACGAGGCCTCTTCTTGGCGAGCTGACCGCATGCCGCATCAATGTCTCGGCCATGATGCCGCCGGTAGTACACTCTAACACCATAGACGTCCTTGAGGATAGAGACCATCCGGGTGACCGAAGACTCTAGAGGTGGTTCGAAGTTGCTACCGTTATCAACCGCGTTGTAAGGGATAAAATTCACTACGGCCTTGCGGTTCTTCATAAGTACTCCCAACTGGTGAGCGCATTCCTCAGTGTCATTGACATCCCTTATCACAACGTACTCTATCATAACACTACCCTTCTTCCGCCCGCCCCCACCACTACCATCGGGCCGTCCAGCTACCCGACTGGCCTCAGAGTACTCATCCACTGCTGCCATCAACTCGTCAATACTCCAAGCCTTGGCTGAGGGGACTATCTTCTCTCGAAGGGCCTGGGTCGGGGCATGCAGCGAGAGGGCAAGCTTGACTCCGGAAGCGTCATGGGCCAAGGACCGTATTCTTGGTATCACCCCAACAGTGCTCACAGTAATGCACCTCTGTGGTATTCCAAAGAGTGTGTTCATGCCTCTTATTGCCGCTAGTACCGCCTCGTAGTTCTCCAAGGGC